TTTGGCGGCGCGCTCTACGATGCGTTCTTGACACTGCCCGACGTCGACGGCCCATCGACCGACGAGGTTACGCTGGCGCACGTGGCCAAAGCCGGTATATCTCCTCCTCCTGCTAACACTACCTACTACATTGATCTACTCTAGCTGCGCTGTGCATGCGGTCGTCGTCGGCATCGATCCTCCGCAGTCTCTGGTCCATCTTTGACGCATCGACGACTGGAACGCTGTCCGAGTCCGAGTTGCGCCAGCTCTTTGTACAACGTCGGCGTCCCGAATCCATCCACTGATGCGTCGGTGGTAGCTCGCAGTGCTGCTCATGGCCGACGCGACAAGCGAGGACGCGTTCGACGTGGCGGCCTACGTTGGCGCGGCCGATGCCATGGTCGCCTCCTTCCACCTCCATGCCAACGCGATCTCGCTGCCGCACTTTGTGTCGTGGACGAGCGCGTCATGGCCGCTCCTGCACACAGTCTTTAGCGCGTGGATGGCCCACAAGTGCTTTGCCTCGCTTCCGTCAACGCGCTCGACGTACATGGCGCCCCGCCTGTCGCACCCATCCGACATTCTCTCCCGGTACAATTCGTCGTATCTTCTTGCACCTTTTGGTTTGCACAACTCTCTTTTGCTACGTAGTGGCGAGCTCATTGCGCTCTCGGGGCAGTCGATGCAGCTCCAAGACACGTGGGACCGTCTCTACACCAGCACGCAGGTATATGCATCGTGTGGCGTGATAGATTGATACTTACAAAAGGCAACCTAGGACGGTCTGAGCTTTAACCGCTTGTGCTACCATCTTCTCGGGTATGCGGGGCCGACGCTGATTGTGTGCACGGCCATGGACGGCGGTACAAGAGACAATCTGTCCATTGTAATGACACTATTACTAAGAGTGGACTAGCGACGTTTGGCGCGTACTGCGACACGCCGTGGAAGGACCAGAGCAAGTTTTTTGGAGGCCCAGGGTGCTTTCTCTACCGGCTTTGCCCCAACTTGCTCGTGTGTCCGAGCGCCGGCGGCACCAACTTCATGTACTTCAACACGAAAGGCGTCGCGCTGCCCCGGGGTCTCGGCCTCGGCGGCACGACCAGCAAGTGCCGCCTCTTCTTTGACGAGGACCTCGACGACTGCTACACGGCGCTCAAGTGCAATACGTTTGCGCCCGGCTCGCTCTCGCTCCGTTCGTCGTTCCAGATCCAGACGCTCGAGGTAGACGACCGATGTGGATCATGACCAGAAATCTGAGAGTACCGCATTAGATTTGGGGCTGCGGCGGCGCCGCCAGTCGACAAGCGCAGAAAGGGTACCGCGCCGATACAGCGGATCTTATCAACAAGGCGCGCAAGGTCGACAAGGCGCAGTTTGTGAGTACGTTGCTTGGATTATTGTGCAGAGTCGTCCTTATTGTGTACTCGCAGGCAACGGCTTTGACCGGGAAATGTTCCTCGGCAAGACGTTTGGCCATGGCACGGACGCTGCGCGCATCGCCGACGACGAGCAGTAGGCGGTCCGACGCTTCAGTAACTCGTCCAATACATGCAGTTCATTTCATCTTTTACCTTTGGTTTGTATGAGCTACACGCGCTACTTTAAGGGAAGTTGGCAACTTCGCATTCCCTCCTTCCACTCGATGCCTCTTGATTGCACAGGTTCCCGCGTAGTACTACTGAAGTTGTCGAGAGAGGACAGCACGTTCTCGGATGGTTCATAGCTCATCATGATCAACGTGCTGCAAGCATATTCTCACAGACTAGACAGCTAACATGTAGCGTAGTCCGCCGTCAGGGGTAGGTCCTCGGCGGTTTCAGAGGGTTTCAAACAAAATCTCTGAGCCAATCCAATCGTCGCATTGGAAAATACCGGGCTTGGATTGGTGGACCCATTCACGTTCATCGCCACCACACTTTTCCACGCCCAACTCTCTCGCTGCGACGACCTCGTCGATGGGAATAGCTCCTAATCAATATACTCCAACTATGAAGAATTACTAATACTCTTAGAGACCAGCAGTGGCGCATTGTTGCATCGTCGCGTTCTCTGTCTCGTTGAGGATCCGGCTGCTGCGTTCAATAGTATAGGCGTCTGCAAAAAAAGGCGGAATGGTATTATCGCTATCAAGGTACAAGTTGTACGCCATAGACAAAACTATAAATGCCAATAGTAATAGCAACGAGCTCTACCGTCATTCACGCGCTGTCCTTGCGACCAGAAGCAACTTCTATTGCCGCCCGTTCCAATGTATGGATTTCAGTATGGGATTTGCGGCGCCATACACCACTTGGGTTTTGTATACTGGTGCCACCCTTTGTTTTTAATTTCCATCGCAAAAAACACTTGGTGGTTGTAT